TATATATATATATATAAAGGCGGATAACCATCAGAAATGATCTCTTATTCATAACGAACGAGATGACGGTTGGTATCCTGGTCGTGAAGAACAGATTCCAAATTGATCGAAAGGCGATTGAATTGACCCTTGTCACAAGACAAATAAAGGAGGAATATCGTCCTATAAGGTGTTTGCGAATGTCACCGGACTCCTCGAATTAGCCAAGAGAGATGATGTGAAAGTCCACTGCCAAGACAAACTCGTCAACCAAATCAAAACCGTTCACAATGTGATGAAAGCCCAAAGGCGGATACCCACAACCGTTTCAATCGATTTCGGAATGGATACAGGAGTGATTGTGTTCTTGCCCCGACCCCACTCAACCTCTAATTAGTAAACACTTGCGCAGAAGAGATCCGCCAATACAAAGATGGCATGACAGCTCAATACTGGTCGGATGATTATTTAGTCACTTGGAAGTTTTTTGGGTAAAGCATTAGTGCGCGAGTCCAGTGTCAGTATAAAACGTACTATGGACGATCGCGCTTTGGACTAAAACATTTGACTTGTAGCAGCTGGTGCCGGAAGCCCAACATGAAACATCGAGTATTCGGCTAACTGAAATAACGTGTTTTACTGATTTTGCTGCCTACTCAGTATATCGTTCATTGACCTAACGCGTAATTGTGGAATGAAAGCAGGAATTACAAAGACTGACACAGTAGGTAGCGTCCTCAAGAACTCATCTGGAGGAATAATCGCTGGAGTTTGTGACAAAAGGACAGCTAAGTTGGTTGGGCTATTTGAAACGAATAGTTGGAACTTGCTTTGAGAAGCGACGCGTCTTAGTAGGATCCGCGTTGTGGGTTACCAGTATACATACCGACCCACCCGTTACCGTAAGTTGGAGGCAATGTAAATTTGTTCTAATTTCTAATCAATGTCTTCCCGACCTTATTATCCTGAAAACGACGACAGCATTAATCACATGGCAAATTAGGCACAAGCAACCTGGTGGTGCGAAAATGGTTGACCCCAAGCAAGATTTGTATGACTCTATGATGAGAGGTGCGGTATTACGCTGAAACTGAATTAAAGGGAGATGCTAGTATCCAGATAACAAACAAGTAAAGGTACTGGTGTTCCTTGTTGTGCCACAACGTCCAGGCCATTGGTGATTTGAATGCAGCATCATAAAGGCTCCGCGCAAACCGTCTGTGGTTGATTAACAGTAGGGGAGATGCTTCCAGATAACAAACAAGTAAAGGTACTGGTGTTCCTTGTTGTGCCACAACGTCCAGGCCATTGGTGATTTGAATGCAGCAAGCAT